GCGTGGGCTTCCGAGTGCCTGACAACCTCTCAGGCGAGCCGCGCCGCGCTGCCCCTCCCCTGCAGTCCGCTTTAGCCGGACGCGCCTGTCCGCTGCATGATCGGTCCCGTCTTCCGGCTTCCATAGGTCTTCCGTCCATAGATTCCCCGTCCATTGGTCGTCCCTCCCGCATTGGAATTGGGTCTTCAATACTGGGGGTGCGCATCGGTCGAGAGCATTCATCCATTGGAGACTCCTCGCGGAACGCTCGTTGTGGGTCGTCGCGAGAGTAAAATTCGCAAGCGGACCTTCGTCCCCGGTGTTCCGACAACGGTACGTACTCGCTCGAAGGTGGTTCCACAGCTCGAGAGTCCATCATTGGTCGTGAGTCCATCATTGGTCGTGAGTCCGGCATTGGTCGTGAGTCCGCCGTTGGTCGTGAATCTGTCATTGGTCGTGAATCCGTCATTGGTCGTGAATCAATCGTTAACTGTCTGTGCCCATATCCGGAACGGTCGTGTCCATATCCGGAACGGTCGTGTCCATATCCGGAACGGTCGTGTCCATATCCGGCACGGTCGTGCCCTCTCAGGCTCGTTCGCCGGAGGAAGAATCCTTTATCCTGGTACGCCAAGTTGTGGTGAACGGTGCTGCGGTGTTCGAGGAAGCTTTTGTACATGACAGTAATTCGATCGTGTATGTCGCTTAAAACGGCCTCAGGTACGAAGGCAGTTATTGGGTCGATATGCATGTTAGAGCCGGATTTGACGGGGTCTACTTCGGGTATGTTAGAGAAGTTGACCAAAGCCATATCATAATGGACGTACAAGGAGTGGGCTAATTTATCTAATTCGCAGCCAACCTTGTGAATATTTGAGTCGCGCATCATTTCATAAACATCGTCGTAGCCATAGAGCAAGTCCATGTGAACGGAAGCCGGGGGTCCCTTAGAGCTTTCTATTAAGAGCGGCTGGCCTTCATGGGGGTAACGAGTTGTTCGATAAACCAAACTACTACAGTCTTTGGACCACCTTCGTCGCAATTTCATGCACCCCTCAATGCTCAAGCCTGCAGCATCCACATCATCCGGCAACGGCAAAGCCGGTTTCTTACCCAACGCGCTATGTATAACACGACATATTAGTCCTGCCTTCGCTTCCGGCCAGTAGAAACAGATGTTGCTGATTATGGGAGAACGGTAACTATATAGGGACCCAGCATATTGGTTGTTATCATCGCAATACTGCGCATCAATTACAACACATTTCAAACTTCGGTATCTTTGCGTCATCTCCAATAGTCGCCTTTCACGACCCACGAGCATCTGCTATAATTGGTTAGTAAAAAAAACACTCTGGTCCTACCCAGGTCAAGAGAAGATGTTTTACACACCGGACCTTCCCACTCCTCTCTTGAGCATGTGTCCTACCACACGCACAGAGTCCTCCCACACGGATGGGGTACTCCTATATGTATGGGGTCCTCTCCTTAGCGCGAAGACCCCGCTGCTGAAGTCGCCTTTCCTCAAGTGGATTGGAGAGCGTCCCAGTTGCGGAGCGCCGATCTCATGATCTTGTATTCATGTTCCATATCTCGGGTTCGGAGTTCAAGTCTCTGCAAGCGAGAAGCTTTCTGAGCACGGGTCAAATGACTGTCCAGCTCGATGCTCTCTTCCTCCAACCTTGCCGCCCGTGTTTGAAATGACACACGCGCCTCCATCTTCTTTAACGCCTCCTCCATCTCCTCCTTGCTCTTGTAGTGGCCAATGTAATACTCCTCGTTCTTCTTGGCCCTCTCCACAGCCCGGGTCAATTGCGAATCTGAAACCCAGTACCAGTAATCATACGCGGTTCTTACTCTGGTCGCTCTGTACCACAACGCGGGGCGTTGACGCCTTCTCGGCTTCCGCAAGCCTTCGAGCTTGCAAACTCTGTGCGAACGTATTTTGTATGTACCGGAAAATATGTATCGGACCATCATTGTGCTTAGTAGTATTTACGGAGCTAGCTGCTGCCTTCTCTAATACAGATTGAACTGTGGGCGATTCGAATGCACGCTGCTCCAGACTCGCGGCCTTTGTCTCTAGCTGATCGATTCCCTTCAATATCCCTTCGTTCTTGTGATTTAGCTCTGTTATTTGTTCGTTTTGCAATGTAACTTGCTGTTTTTGTAACTACAACGAAGTTGGTGCACCACACATAAGGCTTACGGCTTGCAACCTCTCCTCTGCTGATAGACTAGACAGGGGATCAACCGTAGTATCCTCTGGGGCAGGTGTCGTAGAACTTTCGGCTGCCGTCGTAGAATTTTCGGCGGCGTTGCAGATGTTATTTACAAGGCACAAAACTGAGGAAGTTTGTATCATTAGTTTGGTATTCCTCACACGAAAGTGAAATTGCGCAAAATTTCATTGCAATTCAAGCCAGCGCACGCGTGTGCACACACTTTTTACTCAACCACAGTTCCCTCCAAGTGCCATTTGGTAGCCTTGTCTATTAGAACGAGGTATTTTTTGCCCATTTCGACACCAGTCGTCACAAGAACCTTGACGTATTCGGCAGTATGGCCGGTGAAATGGTCTGAGCGGTCGCTGCGGCCGTCGAACCAGACTTCCTTGAGTTGGCCGACATTGTGTTGGTAGGTTTCGTAGGTTTGGAAGAGGTGCGTCATTTCGGTGCTTCGTTTCTTGACGACGGCGGAGTTGACCTTTGGCATTTTGGCGGCGGCGGTGCCGGGTCTGCTGTAGAATTGGCTGATGTTGATGACGGGGAATTTGTATTGGGCAATGAGATCGAGGGAGGCTTGATGGTCTTGGTCGGTTTCTCCGGGGAATCCGCAAATAAAGTCTGTGGCGATGGTGATGTCGGGTATGCGGTTTCTAAGTGCAGTGACGCAGCGTTCGAAGTCTTCGCGAGTATACTCCCTGTTCATGTCGGTGAGTACCTTGGTGCTCCCACTTTGGACGGGTATATGAAGGAATTTGAACCAGTGTTTGCGTTGGAGGACGGTGGCAATATCGTCTAGGTGGTCTAGAATATAAGGCGGATTGGTCATGCCGAGCCTGCAGATGACGTTTGCGGCCAAGTCATTGAGTAGGGCGTCGATTGCGAACAAAAGTTGGCTGATGTCGAGTCCGATGTCAAGTCCGTAGGCGCCGGTATCTTCGCTGCTCAGCCAGATTTGTTGGCAGCCGTCCTTCACGGCCTGTTCGACGCGGCCGAGAATGACGGCCAGCTCGTAGGACCCTAGACTTCCCCGAGCGAAACGTGTTTTGCAATAAGTACAGGCGCCCAGACAGCCGGTGGAGAGCGGGATGATCTCAACGAACCGATTTTTCCGAATTTTGGGCAGGTCTAATGAGGGGAGGGCTCTGTCTTGTCCTAAAGCGCGGTAAACGTTGCCCTTGATTGTCTCCGTTACGGCGTCTGCCACCTTATCCAGCTGCTTGATGCCTATGCAACTGAACGTCGCTAACTCTTTCATGTTAGCGTCCGCCTGTGGAACACATCCCGCCACGACCACAAACTGCCCGTTCCGCCGACAACGATGCGCCATATTCAACGCACCCTCCTGACTCGGGTTCTTCACCGTACATGTATTTAACACCACCACCGCCGCCCCCTCCAGCGACTCCAATACCGGGAACCCTGCAGTCTGCAACACACCCTTCAACACCTCCCCGTCACTCGCATTGTGCGTACAACCAAAGGTCCGTACATAACAACCATACGCCGCCGGATTCACCCACAACGGCGCCACCACTACTGTCGCAGACTCCGACGACCCCGATTCCTCCGTAACCGCCAACACACGCGCACGCGTCACAGGCAACGCCTCCGGACAACCGTTCGGCACCGCCGAACTCTCAATGTCTCCACCACACAAACCCAACTCCGCCCGCACTCCCGAATCCTCATACCCGCCGTCGTCGCAACCGTCGTCGCAACCGCAGCCGCAACCGTCACAACCGCAGCCGCAACCGTCGCCACAGCCACCGTTGGTGCAGTCGCCACCACCGTTCTTCAGGTCGGCTTTTTCTGCTACTGTTTCCATTTGTTGCTTAGGCGCTTCCTGTCTCGGCCTTGAACACAGCGTGTAGTAGAACCAGACGCTGACCACACCTACTGCAAGACCCGCAACCCAGTACTGATGCCTCCGGGACCACATGAATTTTAAAGTGCAGCTCAAGGGCAAGGGGCCCGCACCCGGGCAGCTGCAGTTCCGCAACGCGGCCGACTACAGGAAGCGGCGGCCGGCAGAGGCGCCTCTGGCTCCCTCTGCAGGGATATCGCGAAGTGATGACTGCACACCAATTGCCCGGGCTGGCGCTGCAACCGCGCCGAGTGTTAAGCCGGCATCGAGTCTAGGATCGTGTATTAAACCGAGTGCCTCTGAACAGTTCGCAGGGGCGGGAGAGGACGAGGTGGAGCAGGTCCGCCGGGAGCCGGTCTCCTCGTTCGCGCAAATCGGGGCGCCTGAACCCGAGCCTGTGATCCCGTGTGCGAACCCGCTCCATATTGAACACCTGCCACCGAGACCTGATGGACCTCGGGTTATCGACCCTGCGGCCGAGGGGCCCGAGGCCTGGGAGAAGGCGCAGACGCTCCTTGGCAGCGAAGATCTCGGCCCCCCGGGGCTAAGTAATTCCACACACTTCAAAGAACTCACAGAGTCACAACCCGCAGAGTCGCCGCCCAAGAGGCCGAAGGCTGCGGGCTTTCTAAGGAACGCACACAATCTTGTTATTGGAGAAGCCCCCACCTACACAGGCGACGCGGTCAAAGATTATGGACTGGCCCTGCTCCGGGGCATGGGGTACAGCCCCGAAAGAGAAATCGTTGCGAAACCAGCTAGAAAAAGGGCGTACGCCGCTGCCGGCGTTGGCTCCGATGTCTCCACCGTCGTTCTACCAACAGAACGTCCCAAGAACCAAGACGGAACTTCGTCAGAACACGTGGGCGACGCAGACGGCCGGGCGCCAGATGACCTGGCCGCCAATGAAGCCGCCAATACGAAACGTGACCGCTGAAGACCCCTCGCCGAGAACAACCAGTGAGACACCTTTCTATATGCCGCACACGTGTGTGCGCCCCGCATAGTAAATTATTTGCCAGACGACGACCAGACGACGACGACGACCAGACGATACCGACGACCGGACGACGACGACGACGACGAAGAATAGACGACGGCCAGATGCTTGGGCGGATCCAGCTGGCCGGGTCTTCGGCTGATTGGTCTTTGGCTCGGCTTGACCTTCGGTGCAGCTTTGGTCGTTTTGCAGCCTTTTATCCGCTGAGTTTAGAGTCAATATCGCTGTCCGTACCGTATTCGCTAAAGGGTCCTTCAGAACCGGAGGAGGAGCCGGTGGAGTCGTTGTCGAGGCCCGAAGGGGAGTCGCCCATGTGCTTGGCGGCCCGTGTGTGCTTGGGAGGTGTGCCCGAGTCGGTTTCAGAGTCGTCGCCGTCGCTTTCAGAGTCGTCGTCGTCGCTTTCGGAGTCGTCGGTTGCGTGGAGCAAATCGTTGGTCCGGAGGAGTTTGGACGCTCTGGCAAGTTCTGCCGCACGACGTTCCTCTTCAAGTTGTTGGCTTCTGGTTTCCTCGAGCTTACGTTCGAACAAGCTCTTGACCCTGTCTGAGGCTTGGCCGGTGGGTTGAACGGCGAGTTCTCTGGTAAGTCGGTCGAAGTCGTCGTCTCGGCTTTTTTCGAGCGCACTTCGCACGTCGCGAATCTCCTCCAGGTCTTGCTGCTCCTTCACATACTTTGTGTACGCGGGGGTGTTCTTAGCTGGCCGGAAGTCCAGGTCGTTCAACACGGTCTTAAGGGCGTCGTTCGTACTCTCCAATAAGGAAGCTTGCTGGTGCCGCAACTGCGAATTCGCCAACCGCTGTTGCTTCGACGACTTTATCAACTCAGCCAACTTCTCCTTTCGATTCAACCGCTTCCTCGATGCAGACACACCCTCGTCTTCGTCCCCATCGACGTCGTCGTCGTTGCCAGCGTCAGCATCGTGGCCGGCATGACCACTGACATCACGTCCGGCGCCAAACAAAAATTTGCCTGTCAAGCCCGCGTCGAGTTGCCGCTCGCTCTGCTCATCGTCGCTGAATTGCAGACCCTTGTCGCCCAAGTTGTCCAGGGCGGCCGCAATATCCTGGCGGCTCATCTCAAAGACCGACCGGCCCCCCTTCAGCACCAGCGTCTCCGTCTCCTCCCCCTCGTCGTCGTCCAAATTGAAAGCTCTCCGCCGCTCTTTTTTGCTTAAAGTCGCCGCGACGCGCTGCTTCGCCGACAACTTGCCCTTGATGATGTCCTTTAAGGCTGCCGAACCGGCTTGTGGCGCGCGACCCACTTGCGCCCCGCGGCCCGGGAGCGGTGCGCGATTAACCCGGGAATCGCGGGACTTGGTGACACCGGTGGCGTCTCCTGGAATGCGCTGACCCAGCAACTTGGTGTGCGGCGCTCGAGAGCCGGCACGGCCGCTGAACTTGGGCATGGAATTAAAAAGCTGGCTCGCCCGCCGCCATTTTTACCAAACCGCCCACACACGGAAATTCCCCGAACATTGACCTGCACGCCCCAGGCATCGGTTTGCAGAGCTGGACTGGGAGGGGGGGCATCACATCAAACCCTTGCACACGTGTGTGCAGCACTAAGCCGAACCTCTTCTTGGGGCGATTCCTGGCGGACGGACGTGGTCGTAACCACGTAACGAACACCGTCCGAACGCATGAATCGATCCTTACGAATCTGGTCTCAACGAGTCTCGTAGAGTCAAATGACCGAGTCAAGTAACCGCACGACCGAGTCAAGTAATCGAGTCCCAAGTGGTTTATGTTCACGAGTAAGTGGTGGTTGTGTCATTAAGTGGTTAGGTTGCATTTTAATTTCTCGAGTCGCTCCCTCATCATGGATTTGAGTAGCTCGGACGACGAGGAAGAGCCTCTCACTGTGGTGAAGATGTTGGCTGGTTGTCGGACGGCTATCCAGACGCTTTTGGGTGGATCATTGTAAGAGGAAGGGTGTGTGCACACAGTACTGCGGGGGGTGTGCGTTGCGAGGAAAATGGGAGTGTTCTATAGAGCGAGTTCGGAGCCGTTGAACGGTGAAGTGTTTGACGAACTGGAGAGGAGGTTGGAGGCGGCGATTCAGGCGATTGAGAGAGAGTCGGAGCGGGAGAACAGCGAGTGGTTACAGTTGTTGCAGATTTTTACGGATCTTAAACAGCAGGCGGAAGAAGATCAGCATTACGAAGAGGCGTTTGAGCAGACCTTGTCTTCCATTCTGGCATTTGACGAGGACCAGCCCCAGAGGAAAGGGGGTAAGACAGCTGCGAAGCGGGACTGCGCCGCAGACTACGTCACGGAGCCGCTACCCCAGTGGGGCTCCAGTCCCAAGCTCGGAGACCGAATCTCCTCCTTCTCCACGCTCGCGGGCACGACCACCTCCGTCTTCAGCGACATGGTCTCCTTCTTCTCGCCCACGAAACAAAACGCAGGAACGCAAGCTAGATCATGCTTTAGCGTCCAGCAACCCCCTTTCAGCGAAGACGCGCCCGAGATAGTAAGCGCGCTTGAGTTGACCACAACAGTCAAACGTCAGGAACAAGCTACCGTCAAGTTCCTCAATACCCAACTCTCTTGCGCGATAGAAACAGTCCGAATTAAAGAACTCCTGTGGGCTCTGCCACCAGCCTTCCCCGCCCACTAGTCCTTTCCCGCCCACAAGTCCTTCCCTCCCCCTGTATGTCCTCCCCCTGAATGTTCTTTCCTCCCTGTGTCCTTCCCATTCCTAACGATAAGCTTTTAGACTGTCGTGGACGAACCGGCTACAACACGTGGGGAATGTGCCAGTCAAGGACGGGATGGTGGAGTTGATTGACCGGTCGCACATGCTATTGAACACTCGTCTCTGGACCGCCCTGCAGACGATGACCTATCAAACGGCGGTGCCAATTCACCAATGGACATCGCGCGTTGACATTTTGTCCAAGACCTTTGGCCACGTTGTCAGCTACGTCATGGGCAGCAGCCTGGACTGGAGCATCAGGGACGTCCGGAGCGAACTACTGTATATGGTGAAGGATACAATCTGCGAGTCTTGCCTCTTAATACCCGCCAGCTTCCGCTGGCGCTGCTGCAAGCGAAGCATATGTCAGCGATGCGTATGCGTTGTAATGATGCTCACAACGATCAACCTGCACCTCAAATGCCCCTGCTGCAACATCCGCGGCAAAATTCAGTCGGCAGTCACCGTCGAGCCTATTTCGTCGAAAATTGCCGATATTTTAATTGCAAGGCTTCACCAGTCATCAGCCGATTACCAGCCGACTGCTATACGGTAGTGCGGCAGCAAACCGTTTTGCTCCAACTCGCGCACGCGTGTTTGCGCGCGCTTCCAAAAAAGGCCCATCGATTTTTAGGCCACCTTTATTGATAAATTTTAGGGGTGCATGGAGTATAAAAGCGTACGCGACGTAAACGGCCGGTTCCAGAACGTTGGTGGGCCTCCGCCTGGGATGACGATGGGCAATCTTATAACCATCATGGGGAAGAACATGGCGAAAGACAAAGCATGCCGTCCGCAAGTGGATATTCCGGTGACGCCTATGACCGCAGAAGCTCTCCGTGACGCATGCCCAATGTCGATGTGGAAGCTTTCGCATTCATCGGTGCTGATGAAGTTCCCTGGTAGCGGGAGAGGAAGTAGTGGTTTATTGGTGCTGACGGACCCTGTGTTTTCGGAGCGGGCTTCTCCGTTCAAAATGGCTGGTCCCCGGAGATTTTCTCGAATGCCCATTACTGCGGACGAAATGCCTGATGTCCACGTAGTGATGATTTCGCACAATCACTATGACCACCTAGACGAGGAGACCATCAAGACCCTGGCCCCCAAGACGTCGCACTTCCTGGTGCCGCTCGCTCTCGGCGAAACCCTTGTAGGCTTCGGCGTGCCTCGCGCAAAGATCCGCGAATTGGACTGGTGGCAGTGCACAGACATTGGCGACCTCCGTTTCGTTTGTTCCCCCGCGCAGCACCACAGCGGTCGAGGGCTTTTCGACCGCATGAAGACGCTCTGGTGCTCCTGGTCGATCCACATGCGTTATCAAACCTGGACCGAACCAGCCTTGACCGGCCCCGATGGTCAGAGATGGTCTGTGAATTTGCCGGCAATTCCCGAGCCTTTGGAAAGAGTAGAGGGGAACATTGCTGAAGGTCAAAACGCGGCCCCAACTGTTTCGACAGAGACGGCACCCACCCTCGACTTGCCGGTGAAAGACTTCAAGTTGTTCTTTAGCGGCGACTCAGGCTACCACTTGATGTACCCGGCCATTGGCAAGGTCTGCGGCCCCTATGACGTCACTTTGATGGAGAACGGACAATACAACCGTGAGTACTGGCCCTACAACCACATGCTACCGGAGCAAACCGTGCGGGCACACCTCGAACTGCGCGGCCGCTGGATGGTGCCCATTCACAACTGCACCTTCGACCTCGGCTTCCATACCTGGGAAGACCCCCTCGAATGCTCCCTCGCACTCTGTCGCGAACAAGGTGTCAATCTTTGCACACCAATGTTCGGCGAACGTGTCGACCTGCTCCACATCAACACTTGCTCTCGCTGGTGGCGCAAGGTTCTCAAACAAGAAGACAGACTAACGGCAGAACAGGAAGCGGACAACGAACCAAAGTCGCTGGATGCCGTCTAAGCCGCCCCTCCTACCCGAAACGAGTGCTGCCGAACGTCGCAGTGTTACCGTACGACGTTACCATACGACGTTTACCGTCCGACATTAGCGGAGAACGCTATCGGCAGAACGGCTCTGCGTCACTTCACCCGGGGACAGGCCTGGCAGAGGACCACGGGCCTCCAATCCCTGCAGTTGAGACACAGGCCGGTCACTGTGTGGGGGCGTGTGTGCACACACACACACGGAGGAGCCGGCGAGTACCATCGCCTCAATTAACTTACATATCTCCCACCCAGCTTGATATGAACCTAGTTGAATACAAGTCAACTTGCTTCAAGCCAAATTTACACACGCCCAAAAGTCATCCGTACGAACCTACAACGGCCTGGACGAGTTTTGAGGTGGCTGCCAGCCATGCGACGCTGGGACCAGTGGTGTTGGGGCCTCCAGCCATGGGACCACCAGCGTTGGAGCTATCCGTCAGCGTTATACTGAAAACAGTCTGTGTTTTTAACGGATATAAACGTTGCCCGACTGGGCATGACTGTACGTTTGTGCGCCCGACTGTGCCAATGTCATTCTCCCAAGGTCTTTACCCAAATGTTGTTGTCGTACCCGCCCCTTTTTTTTACGCCGGCCAAAAATGGGAGATGTGTTTGAAGGGCTGTACCCGAGGATTACAGTATCGCCTCTAGCATTGAGTGTGATTTTGGATGCTCACCTTCGACGAGGGCAAAAGGTTCAAGTAAGTGGCACGGAATTGGCAAGGCGCCCGGAAACAGACAGACTAGGGCTCGTAATATCATCGTGTGCGTTTTAGCATTGTTTATGTACGTTGTTGGGTACATTGTTAGATGACGGGGCGTTATGGATAAAGGATGCAATCCCGAATTACGTGAGTCCAGAGGATGCGGGTAAGTTGCCGCAGCGTCAGCATCATGAGTCATTTGTGTTGGCTCGGCAGCGTTTGAACCCACGCGAATTGGTATTGGGCTGGGCAAGCACGGACCTGACCTTCACACAGTTGCATGAGATAGCCGCTTGGGCAAGGATGGATACGAAGGCATCGCGGTTTGTACCGCAAAAACGTCTCCCGGCACCCGTGGCTATTCGAGTTACGCCCCCCACGGCCAGAAATGACTTGAAGCTTGAGGCTGCCGTCCGAGGCCCTGGCCCTGAGTACATCAAGAAGACCATCGGCCTTCTATACGCACCTTTTGAAGACTATATATGCGACCAAACCCAATGCGACCAAACCCAATGCGACCAAGATGAAGTTCTTGACATGGTCGCACGCATCGATAAACAAATCCAAATAGCCACCGAAGCTAAGCGAACCAAAAATGAAGAACTTGGAAGACGACTTCTCAAACTCGTCTCCATGAATCTACCCTGCTCTACTCAGGCATACATCGAGAAAGAACGAGAAGAAGTCTCACTCCACGAATGGATCAAAATCGTCGCCGAAATACAGCTTCGCCTCTCATCGAAAATACATGCCTCGCATGTCTAGCTCAACTGGTCCAGCCGCTTGACCTCGCAGCTTGACCCCGCAGCTTGACCCCGCGGTTTCTGCTTATAAACTCATTGGTTTTCTCTGCTGCCATCTTTCGCTATAATTGTCTTCGCCGTACCTGCCGTTATCGCACGTGCCATTACTACACGCGTCGTGACCACACGTGTCTTTATACCATGTGTGCTAGTTTCTTGGCATCTCATTTTTAGCACCCTTCTCTTCAGGATCATCTCTCTACAGAGTAAGGCACTCTTCGGCCTCGCGACGAAAAACTCTACTTACAATTCCACACAGGCGGTTTTGCCCGACTTGTTAGTTTGCATTGCAGCTTCTTTTGCTTGCCTGACACACAGCAACTTTATCTGTGCAAAAGTGTGTGCACGGGTCCGTGTCTGGTGTGTGCACACAGAAATATGGTGTGTGCACACACCTGACGTGTGCAAGTTTGGAGTGCAAGTCTGACGAGGTCGTACCTTTTATCCAAGTGGATTTCATAGTGATTTAGGTGGTTTGCCATGTCTATTAGGGTGCATCTCAGATCATTAACATTGTAGCAATCGTCGATCCAAACGACGGAGTCTTCGGCGGTGGCTTCGGAGTGTTCGGTGGCTGCCTTTTCGAATAGGTTGCCTTCGGGGTCGAACTGGTGGTGTGCAGGGGAGCTTTCCTCGAGCGAGTAGGAGATGTGGGGCACCTCTTTCTCGAGCGCGAGGATCCGTGAGGAGTCCCGTGGTAGGACGATTTTGTTGATTCGATGGGCGGCGAGCATGGACGGGTCTAGTTCCCAGTCGACATTACAGATCACTTCGTCCACACAATGCAGAGCTAACAAGTTAAGCATCCGGTCCGTAGCGCTGAGGATCGGAGCGTGTCTGTTCTCCGGATCCAACGACGCACACACACTATCACTCAACACACCCACCACCAAATAATCACCCATCGAACGCGCCTTCTCCAATAACCGAATGTGATCTGCCCTCAAAATGTCAAACGCACCACGCGTGTAGATCACATTCATACCCCGATACTCATCGCAATCCTTCCCCCCCAGACAACCGAAACTGGTCTTCGCAGCAATCGCCTCCTTCGCCACCGGGCTCCCGCCGCTCGCCGAACTCCCGCCGTTTCCTGGATTTTTGCCGTTTCCTGGATTTTTGCCGTTTCCTGGATTTTTGCCGTTTCCGGAACTCCTTTCATTCGAAGTAACATTAGCACGCGACTGCAGCTGCTGACTAGATAAAGCTATAGAAGGCATGAGGCGGACGTTCTCTGGGGAAGACTGCGCGGTGCCCGTAGTGGTACACATCGGAACAAGTTCGTCTCCGGTCGTGGCGTCGCCAGCCACAGTCCTGTGGGGTTCCGTCTTTGCCGCCTTTGCGTGGAGGGAGTGGACGGTGTCCACGGGTGCGAGTAGTGCAGGTCTGTGTGGCGCCTTCTCGATGAACTTGGAGAGACGTTTGGAACTGAGGTAGGACGTTACAGGACGGGCGTAGTCGAGGCAGGTGCTGCGGGTTACAAGTCCAACGTCAGCACACGCGTGTGTAAGACGCGCGGTGATCTCGGTGGAGCTAATGCCTTCCGTGCGGTGGAAGATTTTATACCGACCGGCGGCTCGCGGCTCGGCGTAGCAGTCAGTGCCAGTGGTCGTGACCACGGCGTCGTCGCCGTGGGCGACACACGCACACTGTGCAACCTCCAGCAGAAACCGCAGACTCGTCGCGTACGGTGTCTCCCCCAACACGCGATGCACCCATTTGCAGGCCGAAATAATGTAAGTGCGCTCCGCGTTCGCCAAAATCGGGCGACAACCTTTCGACACCTGCACATCATCGTCATCATTCACGCCCACACACAACCGAGCCGACAACTGGGACGCTTGCCTCATCGCGTTGAAGTGACCTGCAGAAACGGTAACTGATGGGGGG